GGCTTGTCCCGCGCTGTGTTTTCCTAGACCAGCACTGCTGCAGGGAGCTGCAGCGCAGCCCAGCTCCTGCAAGGGGTCTGTGGTGACCTCTGAATGTCAGCCCACGCTAGGGGCTGTTATCCCCGCTCTTCAGGGAGCAAGGCTGTATGAGGAAAAACAGTGGCAAATCTGATTTTCTGTGACTGCAGCAACGCAGGCGTCTAGCCTAGAAACCTTGTGCCTCAATGAAATGGTTTTGCCAACGCCAGAGTTAGTGGCTCCGCGATTTGCACGACAGTTCTTTGAAGTAGTTGCACTAATACGTGCTTTTGTAGCGCTGCTGGCTTAGAGAAGTATTGGGATAGAGAGCTGACAATACTTGGTGACTTAAAAAAACAATCCTGTAATTGAGCCTGAGAGAACTTGAAGACTGTTCGTAAAAATGTCACTGAGCTGGGTTTTGATTTTAACCTTGGGCAAAATGCGGTGTGTAATAACGTGGAAGAAAGCTGAGAGGAGTAATATTTAACAATAAATAGCAGAAAATTCAAAGGTACAGAACTGAAGTTAAAAAAAATTAAAATACTTGGAAAAAAATCCCTGGATTATTGTAGAAACAAATTAATTTTACAGGTAAGGAGTATTAACTGCCATGTTATTTTGTGTCACTGCAAGCAAACGACCAATATGTAAGATCTTATAAAAAAATATTTGTCTGTGTGTGTATATATATATATATACACGGGCTTTTTTTCTGTATTGTTTCCAAGGTTATTTTTGGCCTTTTCCGTGGATGGCTTCAGAGAATGCTCCAAGAATAGGGTAAGAATCTAAGGCTTTTTGGTGTACGTATGTGCTTTCGTTATATAAAAAATGAACTAGATCAATTATTCAGGGATGATGAAAGTGGAAGTATGTTAACGCCTTTAGTATAAAGAATGCTCTAAACCTGTACATTTGAATGTTTTAGAACATGTGACAGTTTACAGAAATACTGAAAATTTTGAACAAAAACTTTAGAACAAAAATACGTGGCAGTAGCCTCCGTGGCTTTTTTAGGTGTATGAAATTACATTCTATTAATTTTCAGTGTCTCATGCTTTTCAATGATTTGAAGAGAATTCTCAGGAACAAAATTGGAAATTCCCTTTTTCTCTAGTGTATTTATTTCTGTTCCTCAAATGGTCATATATGGCTTTAAGTTAGCATTTTAATGTATTTAGGTATATTCATTATCAGTTATTGTTTAAAACCCAAGTTGATATTTTATACAGATTTAGTAGTTTAAATTGGTGCAGAACTGTTTCAACAAAGCTGTGTTTTTGTTGCACTTTGTCAGTTTGATACTTTTATTTTAATGGGCATCTTGCTCTCTCAATGCTTGTTCATCAGTCAGAAATACAATCTCTGTAATTCTCAGCAAAGCATTTGAAGTTATAATCCCTATAATCCTTGTAAAGCAATTTCATGTGTGGTCTATTTTGAGACTGTCCTGGTTATACCAGTAACATATTTCAGCTTTCTAGTCTATGTCCATTTAATGAATGGTTTAATTATTTAATTTTGATATTTAATGTATCTTTATGTTTAACTTAAATTTACACAGCATTCTTCATATAGTCTTAATAAATAGAAAAACTTCTCGGTTATACTGTTTCTAGAAAGTTATACAAAATTTATCTAATCGTTTGATTATTAGGTGGATGGTTGTATGAGTAACGCTGCTTTGAGAATATTAGGTTTGAAGAGACTGGTGTCTTTTGACTGTCTCTCCTTGCCATCTGTTGTCTGTTTCCAAGTTTAGAGCTTCTCCTTCTGCAAGAACAGTACCCTTTTTGCTTGCAAAATGACTGTCTCAAAATTGTTGCTCTAAAAAAGATAGAAGAGTCAAACTGAACAAGCATTAAGCTGTGAGAACTGTATATCAACGGTTGTTCAGTCTGTGATTTTATAACGGATCAGCTATCAAGCAACCTCAAAGAAACAATATATTTCATGAAAGTTAAATTTTATTAAAAACATGACTATTATTATATTTTATTTTTAAAAAATCACAAACAACAAAATCAAAACCCAACACCTTGCGTTCTTCCCAGAAATTTACTTTTTTTACATTAGAGCTGCGTAAGAGTACATGATGTAAAAGGAATGATAAAAAAAAACACAACAGGGAGGGTGTAGTCTAATGTTATAGAAGATTTCTGAAGTTCAATTTCAGTGCATTTAACTCTATTAGATGCATCTCCTGTTTAACTGTTTTTTTTCCCCCCTCTCCCAAGCAGAAAACTGGAGAAAGTATCTTTTATCTTGCTTATCCAGACTTGCTTCAGAGCTTAGTCTTTAATAACAACTTATTGGAATCTCTAATCAGGTAAATAAGGAGATGTCTAAAAACACAAGTTTCTGCTAAAAGTCTTGGGCTCATGATGGCTGGAGGGTGGTAACGTGGCCTAATGGATAAATACGGTGCTTGTTGTTTGTTTTGGTGTTTTGGTTGCCAGAAAGAAGTCTTGCACTTTTCTTTTGCCTTTTTTTGTATCAAATGCAGGTGAGACTGGCTTTATGATAAGGTTTTGCCTTGACATGCCCAAGAGAATTAAGTAACATAATAGATAGTACTGTTCAGATTAATGCCACAAAAATCTGTCTTGACTAAACGGTTCTATTGTACCAGTTGTTGCCGCGCGAAGTTCTGCCATTTATGTGCTTTCAGTGTTAAACTCAACTTTACTTCTAATAATGTTTTGGGGACTTAATATAATTTTTGTAAATACATTTGCAGGAATGAAGTGGAAGTCAACTGAATTCTCTTGTGCACTACTGAGACGAAATGACATTCATGTTTGTGGTGAATGGAAGTCATGGCAGCGTCTAACATGGGAGGGAGAGACATGAATGGACAATGTGGCGTGACTCCTTCAGATTGCAAATCTTCTGCCTGCTTATGGCAGTGCTGGCTATTGTGGTGCTGGTCCATAATTTTTTTCAGTTAGAGGTAAGTGGAGCCTGTTTCTTCTCCAAGAGGGCTTGAGCAACATTATTCGTCTTTGAGGGTAAGGTTAGAATTGTGACTGACAGCATTTAGCTACAACTTGGAATCACAGAAAATTCAGACTGGAATGGATGTCTGGAGGTCTAAAATTACAAGTGGCACAGGATCAGTAACTAAAGAATGAATGTTTGTTACCTATTCCAGTACTAGTGGAGACATTAAATAAAAACTGCAGATGCTGAATTCAAAGGAAGCAGGGGTGTTTTTTTATGGATTGCAGCAAAGCTGCAGGAGTCCTTGCAGTAAGACTGTGTAGCTGCTAAAAGCATATATTCAAAAAGTCTGCATGAATTCATGGAAGAAAAATCCATTAGGGGATACTAAATCTTAAAAATGTCAACCCTAGCGTTTAATAAGTCTGTAAGCCATAAAGTGCTAGAAACTGGATTAAGTCTTCAGGAGGAAGTATCACAACATGTTGGCCTTTTCCCACATACCTGCTGTTGGAAACTACTGGAAATCAAAATACTGTGTTTGATGGACCTTTGGTTTGAGTTAGCATGATCATTTTTATGTAACATATAAGGTAGCTTTTCTTTTGTTGTCTCTTGCTGTGTTTTTTTTGGCCTACGATGTTGCACGAAGAATAGCTTTGGTATTTTGAATCTTAGACTATTTTCTTTCTTTTTTTGAATTACGTTTCTTAGAGAAAAGGGCTCTGGCAGAGCTTCGAGAGTGAAATGAAAAATGCAGTATGGGTGTTCACTTTCTGCTTTTTCTTGCCACTATTCATGATAAGTATCTACGTGGCTTTGTTGACCTTTGCATATCTGGTATTCCAAACTCAGTTAAGTATTGTGTTGCTGGTAAATCTGTACGCCATAACATGCAACTCTAACCCCTTTTGTTGTCTTGACTTTTCTGAATGGACCTGCTCTGGTATTTGTCTCTGTCTTTAGCGTAGCTTTCCAGGCAGTCTCATATAGGTATCTATGCTGATTCTTTTCAGTCAGAGATCAAAGCCAGAAAAAGTCTTAGAAAGCTTTTACAGAATATCTGTAACCAAATACGTTCAGGCTTTGGAAGGACGGCTTATTCTTGGTTGCTGTTGAAAACGTGTTTGTAAATGCGTCAGATATGCTTCTCATCCCCAAATCATCTAATCTAGCTGGCTAAAGCTAAAGAGCTAAGGCAATATATATATAGCCCCCAGCTAGCCTCCCTTAGCCTCCCTGCTTTTTCTCTTTAGGATTTTATACTTCTTCATGTTGGAATCTTCCCTCTTGAATTCTGAAGCTACTAATGATACCCTCTCAACAGTCCTACCCATGTCAGAATTTCACTTTTCTTACCCTGTAGCAAAAAAAAAAAAAAAAAAAAAATCAAGCTGTCCACAAAACAGTTGATAGCCTGCTTATTGTTTAATTTGCTTTTTAGTATGGAGTAACTCCTCCCTTGAGGTCCACAGCTGACCGCTGCATTATAGTACCAGAGGAAATGTTTTTGGTTTTTTTTTTTTTTTTTTTTTTTTTTTGCAAACACAGGCAGACAGATAAAATGTTCAATAATTTTCCCCGAAGTATCAGGTTGTTGCCGAGGAGCAACATCATGCCTTTAGGATACACGAGAATTTGTATATATGTACCAATTGCCTTTAGAGCGAGAGAACCACTTCAGGATTGGTTGTGAGCATTCTTTTATTTAAAAGCACTTAGAAAAGAGAATGTGTGGGGAGAGGGGAAGTTTCTTGCAAGGATGAAGGAATGGTATGTGGCATCAAACAGCTGAAACTTAACAAAAGAAATATGTAACAAAGTTTTTTATTCTTGCTGCTAATTGCAGGTGCCTACAGAAGATAACTGCATCATCTTATTCGGATTATTGCTGGAACATTTGTCTGTCAGGTGTTGGCTTTTTAGGACTGGCTTTGACATTTAGAGTAACTTAGCATGCCTACTCAGTGCTGAGAGACAGTAAAGACAGTGAACTGATCTCATGCCTGCCTTAAACAACAAATACGGATAAACTACCTGGAGTGTAAAATTACTGAAAATAAGATTACTGACCTGTTCAGTTTCAAATATTGTCTGCTGCATAAATTAAGACTCCCTATTGGGCGAACTGGAACATTTTTTTTCGCCTCCTTGCCTGTCACCCGGGAATCTCCTGTGATGTTTCCTGCTCTAATGTTAGTGATATATGCAAGTTTACAGCAATTGTTCTGAATGTACTAGGCCAGGATAAGAGTTACAGCTGGTGGAAGATATTGGGCTTTGAGATGGCGTTCCACCATTTCAGCAGCAGTTGAAATGCTCAACATTTTTTATCAACCACCAACATTATTGCATTTAACTGAGGACAAGTGTTCATTGCAGGTCTAGCCAAGTACCCTGTGACCCTTCTGGAATATCTGTGAGAGCATGATTGCCTGGGGCTATATGTTATATCTAATTTTTCCTTAGTTGGCAGTGAGAATGCTAAAAGCTGAGTAGTTGAGCTGAAACTTGCATTAGTTCTTCTGAAAATACAGCTTCCTTTTTTACTTTTTATGACATCTTTCATGCACGAGGAACTGCTTGTGGATTTGTTTGTGCTTAATTGACATGTAATCCATTCTGTCCTGCCTGCGTTACTTGGCAGACATCCATTAAATTACTTTGCAATCACATTTGGGTTCTGGTTAACTTCAGAATGCAGCAAATAAAAAATAATAATGAAAAAAGCCCAAGCAAAAAAACAACAAGACCTCCCCTCTCCCCAAACTAAAAAAACCCCACCAAAACCCAAACCCAACAAAGAAACAAACAAAAACCCCCCTTGGGAATTGCATTCAAAAATCAAGACACCTTGAATGCAGTATATATGGAAATAAGCAAAGCAGGGCAAGTGTTATTCAATGTGGAGATTGTATTAAAAACTAAAAGAATCTGTGTCATAAGATAAAGGAAGAGGACTCTTGAGAAATCTTGAGAAATGTTCTTTATCTGCCCGACTTAAAGAAATTTTATTCTATTTTGGCTGCTAACTAGAGTAGAGAGCCTGCGGTTCTGCATGGGCTCACTATGACTTCTTAACACACAGCAGCCAGAGAGATTTGGAAATGCCAGTGAAAGAGAGGGTAGGGAATGGAGTGGGGACAGACTAAGCTACTAATCTGCCTCAGGACAAGCCATGTGTATCCATAGGGATAGGAGAGCTCGAGCACTTGTTTGGAAATGAGCCTGGGAAGCAGTTAAGTAAGGAAGATGGCTTGGAAAGCTTTTCTATTCCAGTCAAGGATCTTCGGTATATTGACTCTGAAGCTTTCCCTGCCTTAACTGGAAAGTGGAATCTCTGTAACATTTTCTCCTGTGAATAGCATACATGATGTAGTTTACTTCCACACGTAAGCTTCTAATTCTGCAATAATACATGGTCCTGTGTGGGCTTGGGAGAGGGCTGTAAAGATGAACAAGGATGTTACAGAAAGAATGGTCCTTCAGGATGTTGAAGAAGCTCTGGTTTTACCTTCACAGAGATTTTTTTTTTTTCCCCCCCTTGAAGATTGACTGAGGAAATGTTCGTGGTATGATCTATTCTGCATAATGGGTCATAATCTGGAGATATTGGAGTTGAAATGACAGTGCTTGTCCAGGACCTCAGATGCATACAAGTGAAGAGCTTTGGCCTGGGTGCTTTGCTAAAAAGGCTGTATAGGTGGACTATGTTCTCTGCCCTGTTTTCTGAATGTATGAGTTTGTTGGCTTGGTGTTCTGTGCACCCTTTTCCCCTGGAAGATATAGGTAGGCCCTTGGAAAGACTTCAGAAAGGCTAGCTGGGCCATGAATGACATCTTCTACATCTCTGACAGAAAGACTGGGTTAAAAACCCTGAAGAAATTTATAGAAGGTTAAAAATAATGGTAGGTCTGGTTTTAAGGCCTTCTTAGATAGCCATCTCTCTTTTTCATTTGAAAGGATTTTTTTTTTCCCTGCCCCCTCCTCCCCCTTGAAGTACCAACCATTGAAGAAACAACTGAAATATAGAAACTTTCTCTTGAGAGCTTACACTGAACACAAGAATTAATCAAACAGAAGTATTCTCCCTCTCCACCCCTCCTTAGGAAAATGCTTAAATATTTTTGGTGACTGAGACATGGTTACCGGCTTGTTGGATGCATCAAAATATATAGCTAACTTTTAAAAATATTTCCATGCAGTATTTTCTGTGTTATGTATATGCATGAGCAAGTGAAAGGAAGAAGTTGTGAAGGTATCCAAAAATAGAAACTTGTCTTAATTCAAGAACGCATGTAGGCAAGTTTTAAAGTAGAACTGTGCCTGAGATTCATTCTCAGCTTTGCCTGAAATTTACTGGATTAATAAAAGTAACGTGCAGTGATACATTTGCATTTTTGCCTGCTGTGATGGAAAATAGAAATAATTACGAATTACCTCAGATGGCCTTTAGGGAAAATTTGTTAAATCTGGGGTGGAAAAGTACAGCAGAAGCAAAAGCTTCTATTGTGATAATAACATTTTGTGTATCTCTGGGTACTTGTCAATTTACATTTTATAGTTAAAATGTAACAATTTACAATTTCAGATTTTGTCGTTAACATGGACATCAAACAGAGAAGATTCTGTGTATCCATCCTACATCCTAGTGTGCTCATTATCCTCTTAAGCTGATCAAAACCAACTTCTTGCGTAACAGGCTGCAAAAGCCTGTGTGTTTCTATTTCTTGTTAGGTTTACCTTTCTTCTAAAAAAGTATATTGAATCTCTATGTTTTTCAAATTACTTTAATATACTGGCAAATTCAAATAAAATGTAGCGGGGAGGAACCACTTAGTATATACATGTACCCTAGGTGATATTTCAATGGACTAAGACAGGTTTATAATAATAAATAAGGCTTTAATGTAAGTGCTGAGAATTTTAGTACATTACTGAGCAGTTAATTACGGAGGAAGTAATCGGAAAACATTAGGATATTGGTAAGCACAATGATCTTTAAAAAAATTTCAAATAGTGTAGTTTTAATTTTTCAGCAATATTTCAAATCTAAACTAGCATGTTCTCTGATGCCATGTGAATGGTACATTGTATAATTTTAATCTTTGCTTGAAAGACAATTTGATGTATTTTGCTTCTCTATGAATACGAGTATGGATAAGTTCTACTGTATACACCTGATAATTAAGTACTCATTAACTGCTGATTTTGTGCATATTTGAGGTGTAAGTTTGGATTTGCTAATTAGGAATCTCACAGGTAACTCTGGAGTCTTAGATTGTGCTATTTTTTAAGTTCCCCTAATGCAAACCTGCAAAATTGTGCAATGTCATGAAGAAGATGGTATCTCTGCAGCCATTTGCATAAAAATGCAGTTTTGGACACTGATCTCCAGTCACAGCAGAAACCCCTGCTCTTCGTCTAGCATTGTATTCAACTATTTTAATTTTTAAACTCTTGTGTGGATTAGGAGATGCTCTGGTTGTGTTTCATTTGGCTCTAGAAGAAGCTGTATATAGATTTTAAAATCTTAAAAATAAACAAACAAATATTTTTTTTTTTCCTGTTTAGTCCTAGCTTGTCCTAGACTATTTTACTTGCCCACCAGTTCATGAATTCATTGCCCCTGAAGCATTCCTTTCTTTTATTCCATTTCTTTTAATCTGTACATTACAGGGAAACCCACATTTCAGATAATTAGATAAGAAACAATGTGAGTGTGACCAGATAAATGACCACAGCTGCTAAATGCAGCAGACTTCTCTAGAAGGCATGTGCAGGGGGTGCATCAGTTTCATCTGCAGTGTAATGTCTCAAAGAAACCCTATTTCCTTGCGTTATACTGGGCAGCTGTTAGACCTCATTGTGCTCAAAGACTACAATGTTACTACGGTAAGAAAATTAAACATGAGTTACAATTTACTATTTAATCATATGACCTTTTGTAATTTTTTTCATACTGCTGATATTTACAGAATACACTGGTAGCCAAAATACTGCCACAGAAAACATTGGTTTGTTTATATAAAAGCCTCTTTGCCAGAGCAGGGTAACCACAGGTTGCCCACCCGTTTCCTTAGAAAGCCCATGGTCAAAGTAATAGATTTGTGTCTTCTAGTAAAGTTGTTTCATTTGGTCAGCTTCAAAGCTCTGTAAAGCAAAGCCCAGTTCTTGGGATCATCTCCTGACAAAGCATCCGTTATTCATAGTGTTTCATTTAATAGCACAGTTTCAGGTAATCTTTTTCCTCCCCAGCACCTGGATGATGACACAGTTTCAGGATCAAATTGGATAACAGAAAACGATGTCCAGCGTTCTCTATCACAGACAACCAAAACTACCAGGAAGCCTTACTGTGGTTATAAGCAGCAGATTTTGTCCAAAAGAGAACAAGAGGAACAGGAATCGTTGCTTGCTGCAATACAGTGGCCAAAACCCTCTGATGGCAAAATTGCCTTTGTACAAAGCACTGATCCTGCACGTAGTGACTTTGTGATTGTGAAACCCAGCGGGTTCTTCAAGGTGGGTGATCAGTTAGAGGTGCTTGTTCGTACGAAGGATTTCCAGGGAAAACCCAAGCGGTATGGCGGAGACTATCTACAGGCACGAATTCACTCTCCTCTGCTGAAAGCTGGAGCAACAGGAAGGATTGTAGATTGCCATAATGGCCTTTACAAAGTCTTCTTTACCTTGCTTTGGCCAGGAGACGTCAAAGTTTCTGTGTCACTTGTCCATCCGAGTGAAGCAATCCAAGTCCTCCTGCGTTTACGAGAAGAAAGGCCAGACAGGGTCTATTTCAAAAGCTCATTCAAGTCTGGGAGGTATTCGGAGACCACTGAGTGCAATCTTTGCTTGCCTGGAGATCTCCCGGTGTGTAACTTCACAGATCTCTACACGGGCGAGCCATGGTTCTGTTACAAGCCTCGAAAACTGTCCTGTGCCAGCCGAATCAGCCATGCCAAGGGTGGATATCAAAAAGGTCTTCTGACACAAGAGGAAAGCCTCTTCTTCCAAAGGTATGTATGTTGTTGAATTTATATATACTCGGTCAAGTAATTTTTTTTTTAAAGATAAGCTCTAGATTATTGGTGAAATACGACAGATTGCCTTAGAGGAGGTGAGTATTGGCAGGAACAGGTGTTTGATGTGAGTTGTGAATATTCCCTTCCCCTCCATTCAGTACAAGAACACAGTAATCTTAAACTAAAGACACTTGGAGTGTAGTTCTCTCTCTATGCTTTGAATAGGTGCATCTTGAACCCTGGTGCACCTGCTAAATTTCACAAGAGCATGCTGTCTAAATCTGGTGGTGGTTTGGGGGACTGTTTCCTTATTTTTTGTTTTCACACCTATGCTTGCAATATCAATAACAATGCTTTGAGATGTGTTTTTGGCCAAGTCTGAACTACCTAAAAAAGGTCCAGGTTTTAGGCTTATTTTTACACAAAATACCAATTGCTTTTATCCTCGGCAAAAGTAATCTTACATGTAATGTAATGTGTTCCTTGTTGCTCAGTATGACTTCCAAATCGTAGGAATAATTTTAAGTCAGTCATGAAGAAAACACCTGGTAGAACAAACTGCTGAGCAATACCTGTGCAAGTGGAAACAATCTGTGCGTGTTATGTAAAGTGTCAAACTAAATTACTTTCACAGTCATCTTTTTCTTCTGCATTCAGCATGTTAAAAAAATATACGTCTCAGTGCATGGGTTAGACGTGATAGATCTGCTTCTGTATATACCCTCAGCTGAAATCAGACAAAGTTAGCTGCTGTGTAGTGTCAGAGTTGTAGTTGTAGGCTACTGCCGTGCTCTCCAGAAAAGGTGTTGAAGGAAAGTGTTTCAGCAGTATGTCCACTTGATGCTTAAATTGGGAAAGATTTTAGAGCAGCTCCAAATAGTTTAATTAGGAAAGTGTGTGTGCCTGGTTGTAAGTGAAGACCAGAAATCAGAAAAAAGTAAATATCAGTGGAATTGTTTTTTGGCTATTCCTTATCAAGTTTCTAAGTGGGTCTTTTGACTTTCTTTGCCTCAGGCAGTTCACCTGTAAAATATGGCTGATATTGATTGGTGATGTTTCCAAATGGGATTGGGACATTTTTTTTTGCTTGTTTTGTTTTGGTTTTTGTTTGTTTCGTTTAGCTCTGAGATCCTTGACTGAAATAGCTTATAGAAATTCCAAATAATTTATTTCTTAAATAGAGAAAAACATTAGACAGGGATTCTCTTTAAAACAGCAACAAAAGACAGAACAAGAGCTTGGTATTAAATCTCTGCATCTGTCACAGCTGTATAATAGTGATATGTGTCCAACACAAAATGATCAGAATTCGTTGATGTCCACAAACAGATACTTGTGAGGTCTCTTGGTGTCCAGGGGGATGAGCTTTGTTTCTGTATTCAGCAAATTGCTGTCCTACTGGAAGACCTTACTGCTGGAGATATCTGAAGTTGGTCAGACGTTGGCTGGTACTGCTGTCTCCCCGAGAGGCAGGACACACCACCGCTAGCCTAGTCTAGCTCTAGCACTGCGGATGGTGGTGGTGCTGGACTGCCGCGAGCTCCGCTATGTACTGCAGAGCAGGCTGTGGGATAAGGGGGGCTGAAAGCGGTGTTGAGCACCTATCGAGAGCTGGGAGCTGCTGCTGCAGCGTACCCTTTCAGTGGTTTGTCTCCTGGCAGTGGTACACGTACGACAACCTGGGAACTTCCCATCTTTGTGGTACATCCCCGAAAGCTTCTTGCAGACCTCTGACAGCTTGATAGCTTTATCTAGATTTGTGTCAGTAAAAGGGTGCGCAAGATTTGTGTCCTAGGGCTATGAAATTTTGAATTCTGACTGAGAACAGTGATAGTGGTCTCAAGGAGATTAATACAGAATGAGTTCAGCTGTAGAGTAAATTTAAAGTAAAAGATTCGTTTTGAGTCCTGTGTGCTTATTTGAAGTGGGTTAAAAAAATGAGAATATTACCTTCAAATTCTACAGCCTTAATACATTATTATTATTAATTTTTGTTCAAGTGATGTGAATATCAAAAGGCCGATACTCTCCAGTGGACCTGATTCAGTGATTGTAAAGCCCAAGTCATTTACAGGTAAAGTGAGCTTTATAAGATTCTTGTTTGTAATCAATAATTAAATTTATAAAAAGAACAACAGGCATGAGGTAATAATTGATTTGTTTATATACAATAGCGTGGAATAGAAATTAACTTTTAAATTTGTATTGAGATGATGAAGGCTTTTGGGTGTTACTGTAATATAAGTTCAGTATTAATAACAAAATTGTCTAAAATTACATACATAAATGGGATTTTTAGCAAAAAATAATTAAAAAAAGAGTTTGTTTTCTTGACAAAAGTGTCTTTTTTCTAGCATTTATTGAGAGATGTAAAATGTCTTACAGTAACTGTTCACCAAACTCTCAAGTTAATCTAGCAAAACCAGCTGTGTGGTGTTTCTTAACTTCTTTCTTTGTTAAGAATTTTGTCTAACAGATTTTGACAATTTGCATTTAAGTATTACTATCATTTTTGTTACCACAGGATGGCAGAACATACAGTTGTGGACCAGAACCTAATTGCTCTGTACCCTGTCTAAAAACAGAACAAAAAGACAGTCCATACTAAGTTAAACTTACAGGTTTTATCTCATTCATACCCATGTGCACGCTTTTTGTGCCTCTAAAAAGTCTGCATAAAGTGTGATACACAGCGAATTACTTCTTAATTGAAAGCTTTTTGGATGTTTTTTCTATAAGGTTGTAGGAGACTTTAGAGGTAGAGTTCTTGACCTGAGCAATAAAGTCTTAACAGAAAACAGCCTACAGGATTTCTTCCTTTTAGTTTCGCTGTTCACTAAAAAAATAGAATGCTGCTGTTAGGCCAGCAGCGTCTTCCCGATCGTTTAGATGACATGTTTTTTGTTGCTTTTTTAATCTTATATATTTCCTTGCAGAAACTGGTGCAAATTTGAGATTCGATTATATCGTCCTTCTTTCAGGAGTTACAGATGATCAAAGCCTGCCTGTGTTTCCTGAGGTTTGATGCTGGGTTAGAAAGGGTTGATAGGAGTAGCACAGTATTCCTCAGGGAAATTCCTTCCAAGAAGAACAGTCTCTGAATAAATAAACTTAATACATTGGTATGATGATCGTGTATGTATGGATTTGTTAGGATTGATGGCACACTTGAATTCTATGTTTTGCTGTTTTTGGTATGTTGCACATACCTTTCTGTTTCAGGGTGAATGTTTATGAAGTTGATTTTTAAAACTTTATTTTTCTGAAATACAAGCTTTTATTTCTGTTCTTGGTTTGTAACTGTTCAGATTGGAGCTTTTACTCTATTCTATAAAATCCAAAAGTAATGTCTTTCTGAATTCTGGAGCAGAACTGGTATGATACTGTACACAGATTTGAAATGCTGGTGTTAGATTTAGTGTGAGGCACCAAAAAGTCCTCATAGTACCATTTTTATGTATATATGTGTAGTCCAAGAATAATTTAAAAGATCAAAAATTGAAATGTTTTTACATCAAAACTTAAGAAACAAATGAACTGAAGTTGTGAATTCACATTATGAATTAGTCTTTAATTACATGACCACATGAAGGGTTTTTTCCTTTTCTTTGTAGGATTCCTGTTTCATACATATTAGATGAGTCAACATTACTAGTTGGTTTTTTTTTCTCTTCCTTCATTGTCCCTGTTGCCTGATTTAAAGAATCATCCAAAGATAAAATTTTCTAATGGATTTTCTGTGGTACTCATGATTATAGTCTTTGTGCTATACAAACATAATAGTAGTTTGCTTTTTACAGTGTCCCTGTGAGGTCAAAGTAGGTTAACATCTGCTAATGCAAGACACAGAGAATGTTGTATAGAAAGAGTGAGACCAAAAATGCCTATTAGGAGTCAGTGTTTAAAGATTAGCACTCTCCTAGAGAAGCTGGTGGCTCA